AAAAATTTGGAGTCTATTTACTTATTACCACTCAGTGTACATCAGTAATTTAAAATATCCAAGAAATGCTCTTAAAATACAATTTCATGATCAAACATCAAATAGTGCACTGACAGGACTATTTTTAGTTTTTTAATACTTCATATTAATTTTCTTATATTTGCTTGACAAAGATTATTTAATGTAGCTTGTGTATTGCATTGTTTTTTGTTTTTATAATTTCAGACTGGTAAACTTGAGAAAACATTAGATTGTAAATCTTCAGCAACAGGCATGGAGGTGCTGGGGGATAAGTTGCTTGTATCATCCTTTGATGGGCTTGTTCGTTGTTACAGAAGACAGGTAAGAGAAAGGGAGTCTTGGTAAGATTTTGGACTCTTCATAATCAAAATTAATGTAACAGAGTAAGATAAAAATCTGGATTTATAAAGTGTATGAATAAATATCCTATTGATAATTAATATTGTTGTTGATAATGACAACTGGCAACATGCTTGAATTTTCAGAACCATTTTGTAATGGAGGATGAAAGCTTATAGTGTAAGCTAATATTCCACTGTTGAAGAAAAATACTTTGTAACATATTTATAGATGGTATATATTACATATAATTGTTGATATTTTGATGCATGCAGTTACATATAATATAATGAGATAGCATGTACCAGCTCTTGTAGCCCATCAACATTTTCAGATGAAAGAGGAACAAAAAAACATGCTGATTTTTAGATAAAAATTTTTTTCTTTTTCTGGTTGTGAAAAATTGTTCAAATGTTAGAAGTTGTATTGAAAGAATCAGAGTGAAATCTACCTGTCAAATTTTAAAACAGAGAAAAAAACTATTCCTGTTTCATTATTTTGAATGAACGAAAAAAAAGCAACCCATAGTACATTATGAATATTATGTTATGGTACTATAGATTGCTGATTATTTAATGATCATTATTTTCAGATCTATTTTTATTTTTTAAATAGGATCTCAGTTTGCAGTGTTGTTTCTACGGAGCTGGCAAGGCAATGGTTTTATGCTTAGATGTTTTTAAAAATATGGTAAGTTTCTGATTTTGATTTTATGTATTTATGGTTTTTTTTGTTAATAATCTTCAAATTTAAATCCAAAAACTATGCCACAATAAGCTTGTGTTTGTTTTTTTATACTGGCAATAGCATTAAAATTCTGAAATATCTTGCATACACATGAAGTAAGAACAAAGACCATTCTATGAGGTGGTGATAATGTTATGAAATAATTTTGGTTAATGTCACACCTTAAACTTGAATTGTTCTTAGAATTTCAGAATCTGAGCATGCAAAGAGTCTACATTATTTGCCTTCCTTAAAGAAATTTATTTTAAAATTGTTAATATCATAATTCTTCTTTTTTTTTCAATTCATTCATCTCTCATATACTTTATGAACCTTTGTGTTCATGTGTATATCTAATATATTATACAACGTTAGCCAGAGTAACTGACTTGTAATTATAACTGTTATATGTTAAATTTTGATTTTGCGGAAGGATATATTGGTTATACCTGCTCAGTGAATTTTGATGAAGAAAACTGAGTTAATGGTGCATCTGTAACTTGCACTGCATCATTTATGTTATTGTAAAAATATTTCCGATTTTTTACTCATTTTAATATAAAATGGTTGGCAAGAAATAAGAGATATTAAATGATTCGGTAGTGCTTATGAAGTATTTAAATATTTTATCAGTAGATAAAAATATTGTCTTAGCTAGTGATGCTTTGTGCAGTTTCTTTGTGTAAAGAATATTGTTGCCAATATACCGAGGAAAAGTCTTTGTGTATGTTGTTTAAATATTGACTTTATATTTAACTCTATAGTGCCAAGCAAGGCCTATCTGCTCAAGAGCAAAATTGCACTATTAAATTAAAGATATTTAAAAAAATAAAGTTGCAATAGCTCTTTAACACATTTTTTTAAATACTTCAGATTTGAAATTTATTTTTTAAAAGTTAAAGTTGTTTAATTTTATTAATTTTGCATGTAAATAATTTAAATTGCATGCTTTTTATTTTGGGTTTTATTTCAGTACACTCTTAACAAAACATCAGTTTGTGAATTTCCTGAATTTTTTCTGAGCGTAATACATCAGTCATAGACCTCAAGTAGAAAATATTAAAGTTTTCCATGAAATAACACCAGTTTGAACCTTGTAATTTCAGTAGTAGTGTATTTTTGTCAGTTTTAGCCAATCACTATTTCTCAACCTCAATTACCATGGTGGGACATACTTGCCTACATTTCAGCTTTGTGACCAAAACATGTAATGAAAGTTATTTTTCTGTTCTTTTCAACTATGTAAGCCAATTTATTTTTGAATTCTGTTGAGATCTGTGTAGAGGTCCAAGTAAAGTGATAAAAACCTAGCTCAGTGTTATGTTGCCAGAAGAAAAGGTGTTTGTGTACAACTTCCACCATTATTTCAGTCATTTTTTTTAATCTTGTGAAAAGCTTGTTTTATTGTTTTGCACTTATTTGACTTATGAAGTTGCAGTATGAGAGGAAAATAAGTGTTTTTCATGAAACAAAATGAAGTAGGCTTAGTAAGATAGTTTTACATTTAACCATATCAAGCTTTAATTCACCAACTAAGCTGTTCTTTCTTAGGACATGTTTACATTAGGCATCATCTATCTAAATAACTGCTTGAATGGGCAAAGTAAAGTAATAAAACCAAATGTATGCATGAATATAAAATAGGTTAAAACTTATTACATATATTAAATGAAACAATAAGAGAAGTCAGCTGACTTGTAATTTTAGTAAACAAATTAACTTTTATTGTACATCAGTAACTGTAAACACAGTAAAACTGCATGTAGTATTTTTCAAATCAAAACAAAGATAAAGTTTACAGTTTTATAGAATATAAAATTTATTTGAAAGTTTTAGAAAGATCAAAAAATCAGTAATTGAAATCTACAACAAAGGTAAACATTCTTTATTTAAAAAACATATCACAATAAAATCTTTTCAAAGCTGTGAATGGAAACAAATATTACATTAAATATTACAAGATTTTATTTTTCAAAAGTTACATAATCTGTAAAAAGTTCTGTCCATGTTCTATTAATTGTGCATAAAAGCTTTTCCCACATTTATTTTTGCAAAACTACGTAATCCAGCTTAGTGATGAGAATTGTTAGTGCACACCAGTTCAACCATTTGACCACAGTTCTTAGTGCAATATGTCACTTGGTTTATAGAGACAAGCAAACTAATGCCTGTAAACACCATGGTTGCAACTTGTGGTACAAGTAAAATATGGATCCCTAATGCGAATGGTTAAGAATATTACTGGTTTACTCACACATACTTACTGGCAAAAACAGGTAAGCAGCTGGAGAACCAGCATTTTTATGCATCTCTGATTGCTTTTCTAGAAAGATTGTGTTGCTAGCTGACTTTGCTCCTGGAGCCTTTCAGCATTGACAACGTTTGTCACTAATGTCTGTTAGTGTGAACATTTCAAAATACAGTGAAATATTTGATAGTTTTTGATGCTAGTATGAAAATGGAGTATTAATAAAGTAAATAGTTTGACACTTTTTTGGTACAACATGTATAGGGTAACACAACATACTGAATAATTTTGTTAAACTTTTAGATAAGAAATACTGTAATAAAAGTGATACAATAGCATGAGTAATTTTAACACTTTCTTACAATACTACCTGGAAGTTGTACACTACCCTGACTGTTTTTTGTTTTTTTAAACTATGTATATAAAATATATATTGATTGGAAAGTGACATAATGAAGTGAATATTTCTGACTCCAAGTATATGATATATGTAGTAGCACTAATGTCACAAAATGCAGTAAACAATTTTTACACTTTTGTTTTAGATATCATATGCTGGAGTGAAAGTGATACAGTACAATTAGTTTTTGTGTTACCCATAAGCATCATCATAAACCAGGAATGTGAATTTAGCAATTAAGAAAAATACCCTTTATTTACCAAGTAGAATAGTATTTTAGATCATGCTAGTGATCGATTAACGTTCTTTGCTTTGTATATTTTTGGATTTTTAGACTAATTTTTAAGTACACAGTATGATGTTATTTTAAATTGTCTACAAAGTCTGTAAATCAAATAGTTGTTAAATATTACAAGTGCTGTTTAGTGACTAGACAAAAAAAGACACAAACACTTAACCTAACAATAAATTACCAACTTGGGAACCAAGTTCTAACTCTATGGTTTTAACTTGAGTTTGAAAGACAAGTCTTAAAGACCTACAACACTTTAAAGGGCTACTCTTCAGGTCATCAAATTAACACCAAGTTTAATTTACCTGGGAAAACAAACCACCACAAATCTGTTTCCCTTATGACATGACAAACCAAAACTTCTGATCACAAAGGCAGTTAATGATTCCTAGAGATCTGTATCCCAGAGTGGAGAGATGTCTTGATAAAATATGCACAAGAACTGAGAAATTCATTAAGTCATTTTTAGTAAATATATATATATACCTTGCTTCATATGTAACTTTGAATGTGAGCCTCCCTGAAAAGTCAAACCACAAAGAAACAGTTTGAAACTCCTACCAGTTCTTGTCTTCAGCCACTTATGTTATCGTGGACTAACAAATGTTGAATAGCTTTTGTTTTATGAATGAGCCCTATAGCTTGAAGTTACTAAACAGTTTAATTTTGGGATTCCTCTTCATGCTTATTGATCATATGTTTACTTTAAATGTAACCTTCAAATAAAACTCTAAATAATAACCAGTAATAATAGCATTGCTAGATAGCCATATCTTTCACAAAGTCTTTATAATCCAATTTTAAAACATTACATTAAACATATTTTCCAATTTAATGTTTCTACACCCAGTATTAAAACTGTATAAAAATTTCTCCAGTCAGTTGTCAACAAATAGATTTAGTCAAACTTGTATTTAATGTATTATTGCTACAAGAGGGTAGAATAGTAGTCTCAACAATTTGTAATCTGTGGATTAAATCATTACAATTCAATGCATGACTTTGATACTTGATATCACTAACAGTTAAGTTATTAAATTACAAGAAAAAGGAAGATTCAAACATTTTATAACTTTGAGAATTTATAAGAACATCATGTTTTTTGAGTTACTATTGATATCATCTAACATAATAAAAATAAATTAAAACACAATTCCTGTTTTTAATATAAGTATATAATTCTGTGAACATATTGTTTTAGTGATACCTACTTTTCTTTATAGATTGTAACAGGAAATCACAAGGGGAAAATTGAAGTTTTGAAGTTTGATCCTTCTAAAGGTTTAGTATGCATGGTAAGAAATTTTATGTATGATTTGATCAGCATACATTTATCATATTTACCAGGAAGAAGATATTTTTAATTGACATCTTTAAAGACTGAAATACCTAACTGCAAGAAAGTCATTATTTTTGTTTTTTCTGATGTTTCAGTTCCACTTTGTTGAATGGTTAATGGTCAAATTTTGCTTTAACCTGGAACTACAAAGAAAGGCAGAACCAAAAAAAATGTTTTTGCTATGAAATGATGAATTTAAATGTAACTTTTGACAGTTAGGTAGGAGTAGAACATAGCAAAGTACATCTTCCATTTCTAGGCGTGCGTATTATAAACAATAATGGAAATATATAAACTGATGTTTATTATAAGCAAGCAATATTTACTTTTCTAGTCCTGCTACCCAAAACACATATGCTGATCTGTATATTACAAAAATAATAGAGAGCAAGTAACCTAAAAACGTTAACAAATTCTAAATTGGATTCAACCAGTAAAATAACTATTGTGAAGAAATGCAACAACAAAAGATGTTGATTATATATCAACATTAAAGAATATCATTAAAGAATAATTAAGTATCTTATTTCATTGTTCAAACCCAATCTTAATGCTGTGTAATTTCATGACTCAAAATGTATACAAATACCCTGATGACATAACATCACCTGTCTGGTACCATTTCCATGCAAAACTAACATCATGTGACAACTCCCTGAAGAGTCTCTAAACAAGATCAGAGTGCATTTTGTTTATTAGCCTTACTTGCAAGACTGTAACAAGACATGAACCTTTGTTCGTTTTTGGATACATATGAACATTAGTAAATGGCTGGGACCATGCTCAGGAAGCTTAAACAAATTCATGACAGAAACTTGAATTTATCTGTAAAAGAAATACATCTTTAGTTACCTAATTTGGTGTTTCACTGGAATTAGAAACTGAGAACAGACAGCTTTCAACATTGTTTCATGGGATTTTATAGTATTTCATATGATGTTCTTAAAACTTTTTGTGTAAAGTGTATTTAAAAGGATTCTTGTGTGTAGTCACTGATTTAAATTTTATATTTAACGAAATACTGAAGAATAATGAAAAATTGTTTTCATTAGTGAAAATTTTACAAAATGTGTAATAATATTTTTACCAATAAAAGTCAGAAACTATATTTATCATTAGAACTTTTTAGAAGTGTTTGCCAACATATTCCATGTTATTACAACAACTAGTCAGCTTGTGGTTTTTATACTGTGAGTATGATAGATAACAACATCATACAGTAGGGTAGATTCATTAAGGTGTTCAATAATGTTTAGCTTCATAGCCATTAATCTTAATGATACAGCCTTTATATTTCATTCTGGGTACAGGTGTGCTTTCTCACATGCATTGATTACATTGTAGTTAAGAATAGTAACTTTAGTAGCAAGAATAACAGCAGAAAGTGTTATGCTGAATTAAAACTGGACATTTGAATTGACTGACTTGAAGGAAAGAGACTAAAAATAACCTAAAACAAAGTGATCTTGGTTTTGAAACCACACAGTACTAAACAACTTCCACGGGAAAGTAAGAAGTATAAAAGGTTTTTCTTGAATGTAAAATTAGTACACATGCCCATATGAATGTAGGTGTGAAAAACGTTTTAAACTTCATGTTCACTTGTCTATAGTAAAAGGAAAAGAAATTCCTGGTATTTCATATACCTCAAAGGTAAAAAATGTTCACAAAAATGAGGTTTCTTCAGTTTAATTGGATCTCCTCTTCATGCCAATTGTTAATTTTATTAATGGAAGATAATTATTTTGAATTTGTCCTTACTTTGTATAATGAAATAATTATGAAACTTTGATACATGTAGTTCAAAATCCATATTTTTGAAACGTGTTTTTAAAAATGATACCACATGAAAATCAAAGAGCCTAAGATATACATGAAGAATTTTTATAACATTTATATGATATTTTTAAATAAATATTTGGTAATTGGCAAGTTGAACTTAATATATTCAATTTTTGATAGTATATGTTAGGGTTGAACATTTGATTGTTTAATTAAGTTAGTTTGTTAAGTTGACCAGTTAGATGTTGTAAGTTCAGAGAAATATCAACAGTAATTAACCCTAGAATGGTTAGTTTTGTATACAGGTTTAACTTTTATAGGGGTCAATGGTGACCCCAATGCTAGCATTCTAGGGTTAAAAATTTTTGCATTTTACCTTGTATATTTTAATATTTCTGAACATATTGTTGTCCTCTTGCAATAATATTCTCAAATTAAGGTATATTTTTTAAAAAGTTAACACACATCTTTTTCTACCTTATATCTTTAAGTTTAGAAATAACTTTAATAAAATTCTTTTAAAATGTTATAATTTTTAACACAGTTTCTGTTTGGTAAGGCTTTAAGGTGATGACTCTGCATCATTATATGAAAGTTGACTCTAACTAAATCTTTTTTGTGAATGGTATTAAGTACCATATGTAATATATCATACATGTTTTGATAGGGCAAGAAATGCTTTAAAATATGATAATTTTTTTTATGAACATAATTACAACTCAAATGCCCTGAGGGCCTCCTGAAGTTTGTAAAAACCATGACTGTACTTCCATTGTTATTTCCAAATGACTTGACATACAGTCACAATATTTGACATACATCTTCTCTGTGAATGAATCTACAATTCTGGTATAATGGATCTAATATATTACCAAATGTTTGTATTTCATTTTGCAAAATATCGTGTTTTGAAAATCATAATTTTTGGAATATAATGCTTTATTGGCAGATGAACTGGAATTTATGTAAATTATTTATATGATAATCATAGATCTGATAATATATATATATCGTAACCACTAATAACAAAAATGAAATCATTATAAAACAATGAATGTTGCAGGTATGATAGAACTGATGTTTTGTAGTGCACCTGAAATAATAGTATCAATGAACACACAGCTAATTTGTTGTCTGCATATATGTTTATGTTGTCATTGTGTTTCAATGTTCTACTCGTTTTAGCTATTCTACAATAAAATTTTCTAACAAAAAATTGGAACTTATAGTGAACACCAGTTATTGATCAGTATCTAAGATTATAATAGGCCATATTATACAAAATAAATTACTAAATTTCCAATTTTAGGTGGGAAAGTGAACTGAAGACATTTCCTGTTAGAGCTTTTAATTTTTTTTGACACATTTTAACATGCTAAATGTCTAAGGTTTGTTATGTAATCTGAACAAAATTTATACATTAGTTTATATATATACATGTGTATGTGTGTGTATATATATATATATATTGTTTGAATGAAGTTCTACTCAGCACTTCTTCTGTGCCTATAACATACTTATAATGAAGCCACTACAGGCTATCTTCTGTTTCCACTGAGGGGAATTGAACCCCTTATTTTAGCGTTGTAAATCTAAAGATGTACCACTGTCCTACCGGGGAACTTTGTTTGTAACACGTGATTTATGCTACAGTTGCCTTTGTTTACTTACACAGATATGCGTAAACTAGTAACCAAAGCACATCCACTTCATCAGAATGTTTTAAAAATTGGACTGTGCAAATGACAATAAGCTAATATTGTCTTTAGCCTGATGCTTCTCTTGCTTTCTTTTTTTTTCTCAGTCAAAAAGTGTGTAGGTAAGAGTTTATTAAATGTTTTATAATATGGTCAGATGTGCTACATACCTTACTGAACAACATTTACACTTAGTTGCCATTGTTTTATCATTGTGGTGGTGTGTAAACCTTTCAGATATTTTCATGACCAGATATGACTTTGTTGAGTCAGCAATAAAATGGTAGAATAAAGCTCTCACTTCCCTGTTTAAAAACTAATTCTTGATACTCAAGGTTATGAAAACTCTTCTCTTTCACTGACAGAATAACATTTTAACTTATATCTTACAAAGTTTCCCTCTTGGACAACTATAAGCCAGCAGCAGCACTGCAACCTATTTCTAGAATAATCTTTGTATTTCAACTAGTAAGTACACAGTTGAAAAATATTCCACCAATCCAAATAATACACCATCAAGCCTACACATAGTTTAACTTCATAATGTTCTTACCCCACATGAAATATAATATAACTACCAAAAGTACCAAAATCAACCTACTCTAGTAACTTACAAACTTATAAAAAAAAAAAAATTATATTCAGTGGAATTTATCTGTTACAAAAATTGAAAGTAGAAAGAAGATAATAGGTACAAGCAGTTTTTAAATATTATTGATAATGTAATCCAATGTTTTGAACTTCAAAAGTGGAAATACAAATAATATCGGATCACATAGCCAGCTTAGTTAACCTGTTTGCTAGGGGTTAGACTGAAGCAACAAAATAAGTAACGAAGCTCTTACTTATTGGTGGGGCTTGAATGACATTATATAAAATGATTATACCTGATAATTGCTCATATTATTCTTATATAACCTGTTTGCTACTCTTCAAGGGTATTCAGATAACTTATGGACAAATAATGAGCTATCAGCTGACCAGTCAATTAACTGGATTATCAGCCTAATGCTATACAGAATTTTATCTGACATGTCATAAAAGTATTTATATTTGTTTTGGAAGAAACTATTTTAGTTGCAATTTAACTGTATATTTTGAGATGCCCCCTGGCAGCTGTGAAGGCTTACAATGCTAAAGATTGAATTTCATTACCCACAGTGGTCAGAGCATAGATAACCCATTGTGTAGCTTTGTGTAAATATGTGTAGGTTGTGTGAAAAAGTAATTTATAAATCTTATATATAATTAGTGAATACCATTTAATAAATGTAATTGGGAGCATTCAGTATTTTAAACTTTCAGCAGTTATTCCCATTTGCAAAAAAAAAAAAAGAGGTCAAGGTTTTTTTAAGTACACGAAACATTTAATGTTAATTTTTTTATGCAGGAACCTCAGTGTGGACTAACTTTTACCAGAGATGAAGATTTGGATTTCCATAAAGCTAATGATCATCTATCACCAACCTAGATGAAAGTACTTTAAAAACTGTATGTACAAATTTATTCAATAGGAAGATGTATATGAAGGTTATTAGAGAGTACTGATGACATTGTTTCCTGAAGTTTGGTTATTGCCAACTCATGCTTGAGGTAAAGCAGGTTTAACAAAAGTAGGAATAAATTTGAAAATATACATGAACTCTTTTGCTACTGACTTGGTGGATTACACCAACCATGTGACCATCAGAGATTTTCGTACTATAACTTTTAACATGTTTTGTGTATCTTCACAAAATCGTTCAAACTTTTAGTAAACATTACAGGTCTTGTGTAGACAAAAAAATCAGAATTTTAATTAAGTATTTTTGCTAAGAATTTGTCCTTGAATATATGGAATCAGGATGTTCACTGCTCTGAGTGCAAAGTGCTTTTTTGTGCTAAGATTAAAAATACTTTTTTCATCTGAAAAATTTCAAATTTTATTTGTGTCATGATATAAAAGACTGTTTGCTTTAAATATTTGTGATTAATTTATATTTTTGAGTGAATATTTTATTATTTTTGAATTTTGTTATAATAAGAGTTAAAAGCAGACGATTGTTAATAACTAATTGGTGTCGAGAATATAGAAAGTGGCCAGACGACTATGTAATAAAGATATAAATAGCGTGAGGCAAGCGGTAAGCCACAGACAGACAGTATCAGACAGATAAAAGCAAAGAGAATATAGTTGGTGTGAAGTGAAGTACCGTAGATGTGATAGGCCTAACTTTTGATAGATACAAGAGTGAAACTATAGTGGAAAAAGAAATAAAAAAAAAAGTTTAATTCTGTCAAAGCGAAATTGTAAAGTAATTGAATCAGCCTGAGTGCACTTTGACAAAAGGTACATATGATCTTCAGAAGAAAGAAGACCACAATCGTAAGTGAATCACACCAGACTAAAATTGAGATAATGTTAGAGAAAATAGTTTGGCTTGTCAACTGAGATTCTAAAGTAATTGAACAGGCCTAAGTGGACTTTTGACAAGAAGAGGAGAACTATATATATACTGATATAATGTTTACAATATGCTTATGTTCTCTGTAGTGTGAATACTTTATTGTACATACATTTAACTTGTTCCAAATATATATAGTAAAGTGTGTGCTGTTTATTCATCATTGAATTTATTGCTAACAAGTCACAGAAGAATCTGAAGCCAAACATAAGAAATATAAGTAAAAGCCATTTATTTTGACAATTGGAAAAAAAAAACAGAACCCATATACATATATAATATTATATTTTTAAATTCTGACAATGTTGGAAGCTGGAATCAACAAGCCTTCAAATTCAGCCTACTGTTCACCAGTTGTAATCATGAAGAAGAGGGATGAATCAAACTGTTTCTGCATAGACTTTCGGAACTTGAACCTTGTGACAAAGTTTGACTCTGAACCTATGGGCAACCCATAGGCCATCATGGCAAAACTGGATGGGGCCAGGTTCTTTTCAAAGATCGACCGCCAATAAAGGTTACTGACAAATCCTGATGGAGACGGAATCTAAAGAGAAGACAGCATTTGTGACACCAGATGGATGTTACCAATTTAAGTGGATGCCATTTGGGTTAGTCAATTCAGCAGCAACATTCAACTGCATGATGAGGAGGATGCTGCACAACACCACCAACATTGATCACTATGTGGATGACATTCTGACACACACTGCAAGATGGGAACACCATCTGAAGAGACTTAGACAACTGTTCCAGTGAGTATGGGCAGCAGGCCTCACCATCAGGTCATCCAAGTGCTACATTGGATATTCTGTGGTGGAGTTTGTTGGACATAAAGTGGGGGACCGACAGATAGCCATAGAAAAGAAAAAGGTAACCTATATACAAGATACACCAGCTCCAATGACCAAGCAGCAAGTCAGATCCTTCCTAGGGTTAGCAGGATACTATAGGAAATTCATCCCAAATTATGCTGAAATTACTGCACCATCGACTGACCTGACCAAGGAAAGGCTTACCCAACAAGGTGAAGTGGAAACAACACACTAGGTGGCATTCCAGAAATTAAAGAACATGTTGGGTAACTCACCAATTCTTAGAATGCCAGACTTCAACAAAACATTCATTGTTCAGGCTGATGCTTCAGGCATTGGAATTGGGGCAGTGCTCTTACAAGAATATGAAGATGGACTGTTTCCAGTAACATATATATATAAGTAAAAAGCTGTTGAATAGTAAGAAGAATTACTCAGTGATTGAATGAAAGTGTCTGGCTATCTTATTTGCCATTCAGAAATTCCAGAACTATCTATATGGGAAGGAGTTCATGCATTGAAGCTATCAAAGGGACTGCAAATGTTGGAGCAGACTGTATGAACTAAGAACAGTCTTTGTATATAGTAATAAAAAAATTGTAGATATTTTATCTTGAAGAGAGGTTTGTGTCATGATATAAAAGACTGTTTGGTTTAAATGTTAGTGATTAATTTATATTTGTGAGTGAATATTTTTTTATTTTTAAGTTTTGACAATGTGAATAATCTCTAAAACCTCCTAAATAAATGTCAAACGTTTTTTTTTTCAGAAAACTATGTTTATCTGTTATTTTCTCTACCCTAATTCTATACGAGTCAGACAACTTGATCGACCTCATATTATAAGTTAAAAAATGCGAAATGAAGTGTTTAGTACTAATGTTTCTGTCCTTTTCAGTATTTACCATGAAGTTTCAAAGTACTTATCCTGAAAGTTTTTATTTCTAACCTTTTCACATCTAGTTCCTATGTTTATTTTACTGTTAGTGTCTGAAGTAGAAACCTGCTGATCATAAAGAAATGAATCACCACTTTTGCCATTAGATTGTTTATGTAGCACTGTAATATGACACTGTCAGTGCAAATAAGCTCATGCTGTGCAATTACCAGACCTTTTCCACAGAGTATATCATAATCCTGACTCTAAAAACACAGTGGTAGAGGATTTATTGGCTTGTTTATAGTACAGTGATTGAAATGAGAATTATCTAAACTATTAAAAGTGCAAGAAAATGTTTTTGGTATGGCTCTGTACAAAGTTAGGGCCAACATAATAAACTTGGATGTTAGTTATCTTCCCAGGGTGGTCAGAATTTAGTGGTACAGGTGTGCAAAGTTTGTAAGTGCTTATGAACATGTAAAAAAAAATATATATATATATATATATACTGTTTACTTATAAATGGCATAACTTTTTAGTCATTGTCCTTAAAACATAACACAATAAATAAAAAATATAAAGTAAAACAATGATTTCTAGTATGATTTGTACTCAAGTGTCGTACTTGATAAGCCTGTCTGTAAGCTTTGTGTATTCTCTCAGATGGAGGTGGGAAGACAAATTAATCTTGTTAGAAAATTAAACAGTTATCAAAGTGCTCTACTGGTACACATAAAACCACAGTAATTTATTTGGCTTTGTAACTAAGCTGTATGTGGGTTAAAAAAATCTCATTTCTGTTCAGAACAATAATTTACTCAACAAACTTCAAAATTTCCAATCAAATAGAAGTTTCTCCTTCCAACCAATTACAAACAAGTGTCAAATTTACATAGTTTGGAATGTGCTCTTTCTATTGGTTGTAAACACATACTTAAGTAGACAAGAGGCTTCAAAAAAGTGTAGTAGTGGGCAGAGCTATTCTTGTAGGTTTACAAAATATATTGATATCTCAGCAAATCAAAAAAGTGGGATGTTCATATTTTATATTCTAGCTTGTAAATGTCTGAAGTTTGGGTTCTAATTTGTTATCCACTACAGATGTTGTATGGTAGGCATAATAAAATATAAACTGAGCAATAAGACATGCCATATGACACACAACAAAGCATATTTGGCATTTTTATTAAATATTTTCTTTCGAACTAAGAAATTAAAACATATATTAAAATTTGAATTACAAAACTACATTGTGATTCCAATTTTATTGGTATGTAATGATAATAAAGTTGTTTAATTAAATATTGAAACTAAGTCTAAAACATCGTGACATGCACTATTTGACCTGTCCATTAAGAGATGAAAAAAAAAAAAAGATTCTTCATTTAGCAAGTTTTCCATCATGTAGTTGGTGGTGTGTGGACTAGCAAAAAAATGGAGTCAGTGTGTGTGGGTCAGACTCTGATCTGTCTTAGTGCAAAGTGATGTTCAGAAGATTACAATTACTTGTTCTAAAAAGCTTCAGGCATGTAATAGTTTACATCTTTTTTTATTAAACTTTATTGCTTTGATGTTCTTTAACCTTATCTGCACAGGCATCCTTTACTGCGCATGTCACGAGGTATTTAGTGACTTATATTAAAAATTTAATTACACTGTGACATAAAATCATAGTTAATAATATACAAGTTTTAAGTTCTTGATTTTATAAAGCAATATTGAAAAAATCCTGAATTTCCCCTAGCGTGAGAAATGTGACTTTTTTTTTTCTAGGCATCCCCTCTTCTCTAATTTATTCACGACCCCTCCAATAAGTGTGAAATTTAATTTAAATTACTCACTACAAAATCGTCATCACTCAGACAAAGCATAAATTTTATAGCCTTCAATCTTGTTTGGTTACACAGCCATCAAATAGAAAATCATACCCCTCTTGCCACACCCACTCTTTTAGGATTTGTTAATAGTTCTCTCTCACATTTAATTCTATATTATGTATAACCAATAGAAAACCAAGGTTTTCATCTATCAAATGACTTACTATATTATGTTGTTTTCTGAACAGAGAATTGTCAATTTCTCTTTTAGTACAAGCTTCATTCCCATGGTAAACATATCGATTAACTTAGATGAATTTGTAATGGCTGTTACTGCATAGTTAGAAAGTCAGAAAAATTGTGATTGTTAGGGGACATTGTCTGCATTTTGCATGTTATTATTCTGTGTTCTTTAGTGCATTACTACTATTAATTTTAAAAAAGTAGGGTTAAATGTTATTGACAGTCGACAGCAAAAAAAAGAAGGTACAGGTAAGCACTTTGTTTCTTGTTTTTCATGTAAGTAACTAAAATGTTTTAGAGATTATGCAACTTATATTTTGAGCTGAAGAAAAGTATTTTTAATCTGAACATGAAAATCACTTTGCACTCAGACTAGTAAAAAAAAACTTGATATATTCACAGACAAATATTTTTTTTAGTTTATTAAAAATATTTCACTAAAAATTGATTTTTTGTATGTGAAAGACTTGTAGTGTTTACTGAAAGTCTGCCAAATTTTATGAATATATACATATGATATTAAAAGTTAGTAATATCAAAACTATAACGACTTTAAATAAATACAAAGTGGTCACATGGTTGGTCAATTCAACCAAGCCCATGTAGATAGAGTTAAACCTGCAATACAAATGTAACTCGTGTGGAAAATTCATGACTCAAGTATGCTATTGAATTACTTGAAGCACGAGCTTCTTGCAAGCAAATTAAGTTAGAAAAAGATGTATTTCTTCAATAGAAATACTTGTATGTTTTAAACTTTATTTGAAATAAAATAGACTGCAATAGCCTGTATTTTGATTGTGAAATGGTTATATGTTATTCCCAAGTTTCATTTTCTTAGACACAAACATATGAGGATGATCCTGTTTTTGTTTTTTATCATTTAGCCCCATATACTTCCATATTAATTAATATACAAAATATTCACAAATGATGTATTTCTAAAGCAGTTTTTATTACTATTATTAGCTGATATTACCCTCGGCAATAAAAATATTTTTATAAAATAACTTGTTACCACATGAACTGTTATTCCAATTTTCATTGTAATAAGATATAGTCATCAAACATTCTATGCTAAATTAGATCATAAGGAACATGAAAAAAATTATTTGTTTAATAAAAAGACATTATAGCACATAATCTAAATTGATGTACAGGAAGTCTCTCGACCAATTTAGAAACACGAATAAACCAATCAGTCATAACACACACTCTACAATCCACCAGAATACTGTAAAGACACACAACACCATACACACACAGACCTGAAGACGAAAGACTTTTGAAATGTTGCCCTCTACATGAGTTTCTATAACAGGCAGTTGCCGTCCATTCAACTTAGTTTCTTCATTACATTTATTTTTTTTACATGTGTTTGTGGATATGTATAACAGAAAAAAGAAATGGGTACAAGCAGAGATATGACATAGATTTCTTGTCTTTCAGAAAGGGAAATTCATTGCCACAGTTATGGGTAAGCTATGACAGCAAGGTTCCTGCTGAGTGTACAAGCAGAGATATAATATAGATTTCTTGTCTTTTGGAAAGCGAGATTCCTGTTGATTGTACACATCTTTGTGTCTGCCGTTTATTTCTTTTAATATAGAATTTTGAAAACCTGTTTGATAAGTCTTTATGTAAATAAATAACAGTTTTTTTTGAGTATTTAATTTTCTGGCTTGTTCTTTTTGTTAACACTTATGTAGAAAAAAAAATGTGGTGTATTTTTAGCCATGGCTCAAGTACAGATTTTTTGCTCATAGCTCCATCCCTTGACCAATTTGATGTCTAATTACAGTCACAACTATTGAGGATTCCTTCGTTTTTCTTCGCACCACAACTTACTTGTATTTTTAAACATTCAAAATGCACCTTTGCTCTATAAAACCATGTAGTTGGATAAATGAAAGTACTTGACTTTAAATTGATGGTTCTTGTTAATATGAATAATGATTTTTACACACCTTTTAGTCAATTTATAATCCTTTTGTAATTGTTTATTTACAGAAGCATGTAGATAAATTTTCTATTAACTTAACAGTAAGCATATGAGCATCGAGGTTACTGTGGTGCAGAAGCATAATACAAATTTTAGTTACCTTGGTTGGTACATGATTAGCACTGAAGTGAGTGTTTATCATAAATCAGTAATTACTGGACTGTTGCATGCGTTTTGATAGAATTGTGGCAGTTACTTTTAAGATCAATCTGGCAGTCTTGATTAACTGAGCATACAGAATTTTAAGTGCCAACAGATCAATACATGAACAAATAATGAGAACTAAGAAAGTTATGAACTTGAATGAGTTTTGTGCTAACTCTAATTATAACAATGAATGTTTAAAACAATGTTGCCACCCTGAGGCATTGCCTTTTACTTTATCAGAACTGTTTTACCAAATAAAGAATTAAAAATCATTTTTGGTTAACAAAACACACTCAAGGTCGATGTACTTTAAAATATATTCTTACAACAAAAATTATTTTTAGATTTAAGGACTTAGTTCTCAATAATAATAAGTCATTCACTGTAAACAAGTTTTAATGTCTTTACTTCGTAAAAGAAGTATGTTCCACTCACCTATAGGGGGCTCTACTCATCAACTAAATTGGGGAATACAATAACTATAGTTTACCAAGTATATATGGAGTGTAACTGTTGCATTTGAAGATGAAAAGTTTATCACAGTGAGTACAGCTGAGGAAGAAGTGCAACTGAGAATTCAAAAGTCTAGTGATTGTCAGTCTGAAGCTAGAACAAACATTTCGCTTATCCTATTCTCTTCATATCATGATCTTCTAATACAAATTTACTCAATTTAATCTTACTTGTGTACTTAGAATGAATAAGGTGGTAGAAATATGTGGACTAAATATATAAATAAAGATTGACAGAGCACAGTGACGAGCAGGGGTATAAGTAAACATATATATATATAAAAAGAATGAATACCACATAAAATATTGATGTAAGGTAAAGGAAAATTTACTTTTTAAGTCTTCTCTAAAACATGACCAAAAAGAAAAGAAATTTGTAAATACAACATTACACCAAACTACCCTTAGTCCAGTAGAACTTTAAGTTACTTTTCTGCTTTGTTTTATGAGTTCCTACTGTAATTGTTTTAGTTAGTACATGCTGTTATAAGATATCCCATCATATGGGAATATATTTAGTATTTCTTCTAAATATTATACAAGTAATAAAAAAAAATTATTGCAAAACTTAAGTATAATGTAAGGATAGCAATGCTAAAAAAGTACAGAAACAAGGTAGGGATGAATACACAAAACCATACAAAAATCACTACATAAGTATCCAAATTATTCCAAGAATAAGTTCTATCTACAACTAAATGTCCAATTCCTGTCAGTTGCATGAATTTAACTTTGAATAAAAGCATTTAAGCTGAATAGTGC